ACCTCACGGTTGACCAGAGCTTACTCACACCAGATGTGAAGTTACAGGCCTTCAAGTGCTCCTCCCACTTTTTCCGCTTATGCTGATTTACCAGTTGCCGAATCTCCATATTAAGGTCCCTCAGACGGGGGTCCCCGGCATGGGCGTAGCCAGGTAGGGGCAGGGGGGTGCTCGAGCCTTCCCCCCCTAACTTTCAAATTTTCCTTATAAATATATAAAATAGTACCCTGAAATGCCAGCTTAATAGGGTCGAGCCCCCCCTAAATTTTATTCTGGCTACGCCGATGGTCCCCGGGGTCGACCTGGCGTAGGTGGTCACGCTCATTTGCTAGTACAGCTGCTTCGGCCGGGAAATTTGGGCGGACTTCCGCGATACGTCCGGACGGGATGAAGCGAGCCGCTGCGGTAGTGACTACCCTGCGGAACTGGCGTTCGCCAGTATGTATGTTTGTGGGTGTGGGAAGGGCGACGAAGCTGCTCTCGGTGACTTCCGCGAAGCCGTCCCAATCAGCTTTGAAGGAAGTTGGTGTAGGTTCGGTGGTCCGCGGGAGCAAAGTCGGTGGGCTTATTGATCAAGATGATTATGGGTAGATGGTCTGATGCTGGTGTTAGCATAGGTCGCCATGAGATGCTATTGATCAACCCAGCGCTAGCAATTGTGAGGTCTTGCGAGCTGCTGCAGCTACCCATAATCCTGGTGGGGGCGTCGTCGTGCATGGTGCAGAATGTCGAATCGTCTATCTGCTCAGCCAAAAGGTTTCCATACGGAGCACATTTCTTTACGGAGCACGGTTTCTTTATGGAGCACATTGTAGGCGGCGCAACCCAATAGAGTTGAGTTGCTGTGCAACTTCGTTTCTTGGACCGCAGCTATCAATATGCCATGCCGACCCATAAAGACTACTATCTCCTCAATCTTACTCTTGAGTCCGTTGCAGTAGAATTGTAGGAGTTTCGTATGCCTTGGGAGGCTAGTCGCGATACGGGGGGTGAGGGAGGAGTGAGGTCTACCTTGGGCCTGTTGCATCTGACGCGCTTGCTGTTGCTGCCTGTTGGTAGGTGGCTGCAATGAGGGCGCTGTTGTCTGTGTCAGTGGTGCTCTACAGCATGGGGCGCTGTAGTTCACAGTCCATTCGCGCGTGGTGCGTAGACCGGAGCATAGGCGGAAGTGGGGGGTTTGCTGCTGCCCAGAGGAGCTTCTCGGAGCCGTGCAGGCTCTTCGGGTGTTGGATGCGTTGCGCGAGCGGGTAGCCGTGGAGGCTGATTGTGCCGTTTGGCTTGAGTAGCAGGGAGCCACATAGCTTGTGGTCCACTCCCGATGAGACCTAAGACCAGAGCAGGTTCTTAGGTGACTCGATCCGTTGCATGAATTGCACCTAACCGAAGTGGAGTTTGGATGGAGTCGATTTTGGCAAACACAGCAGAAATACGTTTCTGGTCCGGGGTTGGGCTCTACGCCCGCCCGGAGAAGAAGGATGCGGAGCAATCCGGCTGCAAGGAGTTGCTCCATGGACGAACAATGATTGAGGGGTATCGCCGATCTAAGCGGGGTTAGGTCGCCGAAACAACAGCCCTTGGTCGGGTTAAACCCGAGTCATTCCGGTACGTAGAACCGGCTATCTTGGGAATGACAAAAATATTCGTCTTTGCTCTCTGTGTTTCCCTCAAATATTGTCTCATAAAACCTCCAACAAAATGAAGAGCTCCTGGTCCCTCTAAGCTAATAGCTCCCCATACATCAACCGATGGAGTTTTATGCGTAGTTTGATGCACTAAGAAAACAGCTCTTCTCTCGGGTGCCTTCGAACATATTTTACTGCATCAGTAATAAAGTGCAACGTACTTTTATCACTTTTTTCACACCCTGGTGGCGGCCTCAAAGTTTTTAAATTTGAACTTTCGTGTATGTCTTTATTTTATACGTAGAACAAAATAAATGCGTGTGCCCCATACAAAATTTAGATGTTGATATTTTGAAGGACCACGCTAATACATATATATATTTTTTTTTGTTCAACCGTTTCCTACATTGTTCCAAAATCTGATTCCCTTGTTGCTGTAGCCTTTACAAAATTTCAGTCTCGAGCACATGATTGTTTTTTGTGAAGATTTTTCTGGGGCCGAAAAGATATAATCATTTGAAGTTAGTATTGCAAGATATTTTCTAACCATTCTAATGTCTTCAACACCCCTATTGTATATTGTACATAAGAGGGCGTTAAGTGACCTATTATTATATTATTTTTGTGCAAAACATATGTATACATTGTTACATATGTATACCATTAACACCATTAGTGCCATTAACACTTTTGTAAGTTCTTATCAAAATCTTAAATATTTAGTTTTAAAAAAAAAAGTATCTAAAACTTACCTGTGAACATGATTTGTACGTATTATTTGTGTATGCAGCAGTTATATGTAAATCCAATGCATTAACGTAAACTTTGCCTACATAAATATAAATAGTATTTAAGTGAGACATTGCCTAACAAACAGAGAAATATTGCTACTGAGCTCACCATTCGCTGAGATAGCAGTTTCAGCAACTTTCGTAAACTCTGATTGCTTGGGTGAACACGTAAAGTCACATAAATGACGCACAAGATTTGCCATACACGACGGACAGCGCTCGAGAAAATTCGCAGCCAATTTAATATTATCGTTCAGTATTGTAACCTTAAATGAGATAAAAAATGTATAACGATACAATTAGCAAATAGCACGCTAATAGCACACACACACGACGAATGAAGAATGTGGTGCGTTGTAAGTCTCCAACAAATGTACATACCTGTTCGCTATCGCAACAAAACTCAGTTACGCCACCGTCGAGCAAATGACTGCATCTTTCTTTAAGTAGCTCCAATCCATCAGCAGGCAGAACTTTCGCAGTTCCATTGTAAACACAATATTGCTTATGCNTATGCAGCTAAAATTTAGATAACAAAGTTTTTTCCATTTATAAATACATACATATCTAGGGCTTATATTCAATATGACCTATCTGCAGTTTTTACAAAAACCACCTTTTTATGTTAGAACCCAGCTGCGACTTAACTGTCATCACTGAATGCAATTTTAACTTTAAAATTAATTTGTTAATTCTTCTAAAAAACTATATACAAGGTCAGCATAAACATCATGGATGACGNCTGATACGCATCACTGTTGCAAACGCCATACCATACGCAGTCCTGAAAAACAAATTNCTGATACGCATCACTGTTGCAAACGCCATACCATACGCAGTCCTGAAAAATAAANGGATCTTTATATAATCTCACTCTTGTGAAAACTGCAGATAGGTCATATTGAATATAAGCCCTCGATATACTTGTTGATCTTTAATATACACTACCCGTACCACCTCACAAGTATAGGGGTCGCCTTTTCACATTTTTCGTTGACAACTAAATTCGGCAATATTTTTTTTTTTCTACTGGAATCGAAATATGTTCTTCCTTAGCAGAAGTTTAACGATTTTAGCAGGCTTTAATTTACTGGCATTAGGGTAGCANTTTTTTTTCAATATTTTATTATCTTTATTTGCTGAAGATTAATAAAAATATTTGTATGTACATATTAGTGGTGGGCAGTATCCATACCAAAAGTACTCAGAACTCGATTCTCAAAAGGATCGACCGTACTCGATTTTTAAAAGTATCGGTACTGAGTACTACAAAGAACTCAGTACTCAAAAAATAACTCGAATGTACTCAGTACTAAAAAATACTCTGTTCTCAGAATTGATTCAATGTACTCAGTATTAAGCATGATAAAAACATAACAAGGTAAAACCATTGAGAGGCAGTCTGACGTTTGCCAACAATATAATTTTAAAATCAAAACTCACACACACACATTCTCATTTTCAATCTCAAACAACAACAATTGTGAACAATTTAATTTTTTTATTTTCAATTTTATATGATTTTAAAATGTTGGCAAACGTCAGAACAAAATCATGGCCGACGAATTGAGAGAATGAATTTACCTTGTAATGTTTTTATCATGGTATTAAGTGTCGAATAGATACTTAAAAGTACTGTGTTTTATTTACATTTATCGGTATTCAGAAATGATTGTACTCAATTTGAAGTTTCAATAGCTTTCAAGTACAATACTAATTTGAATAAGGTGCTGCCAGATTGTGAAATTTCTACACTAAGCATTGAAATATTACAAAGATGTGCATATTAAAAGAAAGTACTCAGTACTCTCAAAAATATCCGATCATTAAAAGTATCGATACCAAAGAACTCGATCACTAGTACATATGTATGTATGTTTGTATGGAAACAACATCCGAGTTGGAAACTCTATTTTTAGTAAATACCCTTAAAGTGTAAAGAAACGCAAAATATAAGCGTTCGCTTTTGCTTGCAGAAAAAATCAAATTTCTAATGCAATATTCGGAAAAATTTTTTAACGTAAATAGGTTTCAAAAAAGCTGGATTATTAAGATCTGGCTTAAAAAATGTTCTTCAATTTAGTCAAAAAATTCAATTGTTTCAACTAAGAAAGCTTGTTTTGATTCTCTGTTACTTTGTCATTTACGCCAGAAGCATCCAAACCGGTACCTGTTTGTAGCTGAGCAGTCCCGGGCACGTCAGAAGACATCTCTATGACCCAACGGACGATATACAGACACATCATTTGTACATACATTTGGTAGGAGTGTAAAGGATTTTTGCAAGGCAATTTCGAAAAAAAAAACCAACGTCTTTTTCGTCAGCTTCCGACCGACATCAAAAAAATAAAAAATTAAGCGGTCGCGTCGGCAAGCCATGCCAAACCGCCGAGTGTATTTCTGCCATTAAAAAAAAAGCTTCTCCTAAAAATAAAATCGCCATTCGGAGCTGGCGTAAAACTGGGCCTACAGTGCCCTTTGTGAGACAACATCAAGGCGCACGCCACAAATCGGAGGAGAAGCTCGGCCAAACACTAACATATGTGTAAGCGCCAATCTGTTCGATATTAGCTCTGATCCAATACTTTTCGTGCAAAATCCTGTAAAAATGTCCAACAGCAAAATTACTCTCTGAAGTGAGAGTAAAAAGTGAGTAACAACAAAAAGTACGGGAACAAAAAAAAAACATTTTTCCTGTAAAAACGTCAACCAGTGATCACTGGACACTTTTCATGGTTTTACCAGAAGAAAAAGTTCGGGTAAAATCTTGCAACTTCATTCTCTACACAACTCTCGAAAAATCGCTCTCATTTACAGGATTTTGGAGGAATTTGGAGTACGGTATCATTTTTCCTGTAACTTCCTGTAAGTTCGTGTAAAAACCTGTAAGTTCATGGAGTACTAGATCAGAGCTACTATTATGAATGTAAACAGGGAGATGGAATCACATGGCTTGGCGAAACTTACACTGTTCACGACATAAAATTATCTGGAAATTCATGGTACTAGACGCAAAGATCAAGCTCACGCACATTAACGCTGATTCGTGATTTTTGTTAAATCCCCCTTTTACTTTTTTTGAAACATCGTATTACGTAGAAAATCAGATATTTTGCCCAACTCTGCTCCTGACTGACCCATTAAATCTCGCACATTCCATTTTTTCTTACCCTCTTACATATTCCAAGGTGTTGCATACTTTCAACCTTTGCCTTTATTTATATTCCAGCGCAATTCCGATCTTATCACGCCATATGAGCGAAAACAAATAATACATACAGTCAGCGTCAAATATATGCATACCCTGACGTTTTGCCGATTTTATTTATTTATATTTTTCATATTTTTTTATTATAATATATGTAGTTCATTCAACAGTGAAAACGACAAGAATAATTTTATTTTAATTTCACACACAACTCGGGGGAAAAATGCAAGAAATACCAAGAGACTTGCTTCGAAATTTTGCTTTGTTCAACTCGATTTCTTAGAAAATTTTGAGTATGCAGTTTTGTCGCCCATTAAATTTTAGTATAATCAAGAGCAAGTTTCAAAAATTTTCGTTGATTTTTGATTTTTTTTTTTTCTTGCCGAGGGTGTTTCGCATTTTCTTCCTTTAAAGTAAGAAACATTTTTTACGGAAAATAGAAACAGATAAAATCGTCAAAACGTCAGGGTATGCATATATTTTTGATGCTGGCTGTATATGTAGTATGCAAGTATGTATATTAGGCCGCACCGGAAAAAAGTTCGCCGCACACTCTTGTGTCGTAAAGTATTTTTGCTAGGCAATTTCGATTCTTTTTGCGAACGTGGGGGTCTTTTTACATTTTTCGTCATATTTTCGGCATTTACAGTCGGATATTAAAGTGGTATATATAGCGTTGTTCTTGCCTCGAGGAGACATTTTTTTTTTGTTCCAAAGGTTATTAGCCTTAAGTAACCCGTTCTACACAATCATATGTTTTTCGTGATTGCAAATTATTGCTGGCTAAAATTTTTCCAGCATAATTTGCAACTTCTCTCCAGGACACCGTCACTTTACTCTCTTGAGTGATGGATAATTTTTTGCTCTGCACGAACGCGATTTGGGTAAGAATCATGATAGTTCGTACAAATTCGTAAAAATCTTTTTCTCGACGAACAGAACTAATACTTTAAACTCAGCGTATGTACGCAAATTTTTTTTGTTTGAAAAAAAGTTAAAAAAAACAGCATCAAAAACCGCATTACTTAAACATAATCGTGGTACAAAGCTCAATAACAATATTTTCCAATCCGTCCACCTCGCGTAAATCTTAGTAGTCTTACCGAAATATTTTGGCGCAAGTCTTAAAATATAATAGATTTTATAATCCTAACGTAAACACAGTACCGATTTTTTTTTTTTTTTTTTTGGAAAGGGAGTGATGCAGTCTAATGTACATACATATATACGTATGTATCAAACCGCCTTTTTATTATATTTTACACGTGACCATCAATGAATTTCTGTAACGACTAAGCATTCCGCTTTGTATCATTCTTAAAATCGCTGTCATTTTAATAAGACACATCGAGCCATTTTAAAAGTAAATCACTCGTTTTTTTATTATTAGTTGGGTTTTAAATGCAAATAATAGCTACGGTCTTTAAATAATATTAAACAATCGTATAGCACTACGTGTCTCATTAAAGTGGCTTGATAAAAGTATCACGTCTCAATATGTAGTTTACATTCTACCTTTTTTCGCAATGAGCTCTGCTTCTGCTTCCTAATTTCTTTTTTTATAAAAATATTACGTACCACAAACGGATTTGAACTTTGGCTGACCTCCTATCAAGTATGACAGATGTGAATTTACTCTCATCAATGGTCAATTCATACACTTTTTTAATTGAATATTCAGCATTAATTCATACAAACGCGATCATAAATGCAATCAATTTAACGCAAGTTTCAATTTGAACTACGTAGTATGTAGGTAAATATGTATGTATGCGTATTAGGGTGGTCCAAAAAGAGTAAAGTCGGAATCTCAATGCTCTCACCCCCCTAGGATTGTTCTATATGGAAAAAAGGATACTTCTATTTTTTAATTTTGAAATCCAAAAATATTTAAGAGGTCGCTCAAAGCGCTCAAAGTTTCCCATCTATTTTATATGGGAAAAACGGCCTTTCTCGGTTTCCTTGAAAATCTATACTTTTCGATCGGACAACTCAGGTTCTGATGTATTATGGAACGAATTTCCGTCATCCCTTGTCAAATTTGGTTTGGAGACANTGCAGAACGAAAAATGACACTGAAGATGGCACAACGCCGAAACCGGTTTGTCTCCAAACCAAATTTGACAAGGGATGACGGAAATTCGTTCCATAATACATCATACACCCACCCTGTCGGAAACAACAACAACCAAAAAGGAAACTCAGGTTCTCTTCAGGAGACTTTCATTAGTAATACCCACATATTTATTTAACCATTTTTTAATACTAACGATTTTTTATTGGTCCTCCCATTGCATTTTTCGTAGTACTTGGGGGTTTTTGGCGGACCTATAAATTATAGTTACTATGAAAAATTTGTTAAATAAACAATTGGGTATTATTATTGGGAATCTCCTGCAGAGCAACCGAGTTATCCGATCGAAAAATATTGAGTTTTAAGAGTTCTATACCATTTCAACGAAAATTTGTGTTTTTCCCATATAAAATACATGGACAACTTTGAGCGCTTTGAGCGCACTTTAAATATTTATTGATTTCAAAATAAAAAATGGGTTTATTTTTTTTTTTTGTATAGAAGAACCCTAGGGATTGAGAGCATCAAAATTCCGACTTTACTTTTAGACATGCATTTT